ACTGTATTGATGGGGCAGAGGATTTCTTAATTATTAAAGGGGAAAAATAATCTCTATTGCTTTTGCTTGTATTTTACTGCTTGTGTTTGGTCTGGTACCCACTCCTCCCCCTTGACACTTTCTTGTAATTTGAATAGAATAAAATACCAGAAAATTGCTTTTAAATTATTTTTTAAACTTCTCTAAATGGTTGTCCCTTTGGTCTCCTGCTAACAGAATGAGAGAGCAATTGTCTTCTTTTCTGATTGCTATCATGGTCACCCTTCTTTTTCTTTTGAAAGGAAGCAATTTTTAATTCACAGCCAGATGCAGATTCCAGAACTCTAAAGGATAATCCAACTGAACAAAAATCAAAAGAACCTTTAGATTCAACTTGTTTATTCCAAATTTTGTATCTTTTCCTGAACACACTCCACTTCTTAAACATCCTGTGGAGGTAAGAATGGCCAGTGCAATTCCAGAACAACCTAGATCTCATCTGGATCTGATCCCACAACTACTTCCTTTAAGAGCATGGGAATGCATCTTTGTTGCTGACTGCCTTATACAATGAGATTCTTAGCATTTTATTCATTGTCCTGGCACTTCTCTGTATAGGTGTCTAGGTTCCTTCTGACCTGATGGATATGACTTACAGCCAATTAAACTGTTTAATAACTTTCTAGTAGGGTGGAGTTTTGCCACCCAGTGTTTATTCCTTCACTTCACAGCCAGAGCAGCAAAGGCTGTGGTGGGAGGGAAGGCAAGAGCTGAATTCTGCCATCTTTCCAGAGAGAGGCAGGAAAGCTAAAGATTAGGAGACGGAATGATCTCAACACACTATTTCTTGTAGCTGCAGTGAGCAGGGGGGATGAAGGCACCTACTCATCAAAGAAGAGAAACAGTGACCTGAGAAGCAACAGTTATTAATAATGTAATAGAAAAAGGAAGGCTTCAGAAAAGCTCCCTTGTATTCTCTCCAAGATTTTTTACAGATAAACAGCTATTCAAAAGTTCTCAACTGGCTGCTCATAAGCAGAACTCATGCTGAAAAGAAATATGCTCTCTTGCCAATCCTGTGCTAATTAAGCCTGTTTATGTTCTGCTTGAATGGATGACCTGTCTTCCTGGGAATCCAGCAAACCTGAAAAGCAACTGCAGGTACCTGAATTTTATTTTGGCCTTGCTGTGCTATTCTTGCTTCTTGGTGTAAAAGCCTGGTAACATTGCTATAGACTCACCTGAGTGATGAGCACTCCTGTGCCCCTGTTGAAATTTGGCAAAAGCAGGGTGCATTCTTCAAGGTGAGAATGCACCACTGCTTTTTCAGTAATGTTCCGTGACAATCCAAACCAGGCTTTGGAGATTCAAAAGTATTTGACAAAATGTTTCTGTCCCTTTGGGGAATCTTCTGCTAGAGCCATCAAAATGCAGTGAGGCACCCTGGGAAAATCGATGGGAAAGCTCTTGACAGCCCTCCTCCCTGTGATTCCTAGTCCAAATTTGTTCCCTCAGGAGGCTGGGACTCTGTAAATAGACATCTGACTTACAGCTTCAAAGTACATCTCTTTATCCATCTTATTTCTTCTTAAGAACAGTACAAAGTGGAAAGAAAGGAAGCCTAATTTTGTGCTACTGCAATATAAATATAAATCCGTCAGTTGGTTTTTTAGAGTTCCAAAAGCTGATCCACTGCTTGAATAGCTCTGCAAAAGTCAGTGTGAAGGTGGAGATTTTGAAAGGAGGCTTTGAGAAATTTTTTGCCAGGGCTTCCAAAATCTAAGACACCTTTCTCTGTTTGAATGTCTCAGCCAGATCACATGAAAAAACATTTCATTAACCCTTAATCACTTATAGGAAACCTGTTTAGCTTTTCTGTTTTTCAAATGAAGGTTCAAATTAAACAGTTAGGAAAAAATGGGTCTTTGCATTGAAAGATCCTTCCTTTTCCCTTCTCCACAGAACCCAAATGCTGCAAAAAGTGGATTTTCAGGTAAATGACCAGGCTTTTCTCCCAGAGAAAATTAATATATCTTAATTAAAATTAATTAAGATATATTAAAATTAATTAAGATATATTAAAAAAGAAAATTAATATCTTAATATGGAAGATATGAATGGCAAATTATATTACATAGTCTGGAAATTCCTGATTTTATGTTACAGCCTGGCCTGTACTTCAACACCAGTATTGACTTTGGCTTAGCAGGTTTTGGTGCTGATCTCACATCTTTTTCAATAAGACAGTCTACAATGACATAACAGATGATAAAACAGAATCTTAAACTTCAAAGACAAAAAGATGTCCCTATGCTGCCAAATCAAACCCTCAGAAGTCCAGCTGCTGGCTCAGAGATAATTTCATTCAACTGCCCCCAGCCAAAATTTTCCCAACACCTACTAAATGTGGCCTAACCCCCAAAGTAAGCTGCTCCTTAAGTGATATTCAATGAGGGAAGCTAAAGGAGAGCTATAGGAGTAGGAGACAATAATGTCCTCAAAGTCCACCACCTGCAGAGGCTTCTGCAGTTCACACAGAAGGTGAGAATTTAGCATCACAAAGCTGCTGAGAGTAGAGCTCAGAAGTGGCCTAACCTGCAGTGGCACTTGCCAGCCTGGGTTAGTCCAGCTCCAGGCACTGGGTAGGCTCCTTCTGGCCACGGGCAGTAGCTCACAGCTGATGACCTAGCAGAGTACTTGAGCTGGGGCAGCTTTCAGCATATCCTCCTCTCTGAACCTTCATGCCCCTTTTGCCGCAGCTTTCCACTCTTGCAAAGTTCTTCCCAAGCCTTCTCTGCACACTGACTGAGATCTAATGGAAAATGAGCAAGTTGCAATGCAGTTGGGTGGGTACCACCGTTATCGCTATGGTATCTTAGCTTCAGTCCTAATGCTTTTAAAACTTTTGCTCATAAGACCAGATCCTAAGGTGCACATATTAAAAACAAAAAAAAATCCTAACAAAAACCCCAAGCCTGCTGGAAGGGAACAAAATAAAGCCTAAGTCTTCTGGATGTCAGAATAACCTGTGATTCCACAGTCTAATTATTCCATTTTAAGATGATAAAAAATCTTCCTCAAAAAACATACCCAAACAATTCCCCAGGGTTTAACATACAGGTTAAAATTAACAGCTTATGAAAAATATTTGTCTCAGGTTAGCAAAGATAGAAATGAATTTGTGGATATATAAATAAGCTCTCAAACAGATTTAAAAAGCAGAGGTGAGCATCCTCCAAATGCCAAGAGATATGGCAAGTATGGTGTGGTCTCAAATTTTACTGGTGTAATAGTCCATATAGTCAGAGGAATTATTCTAAACTAGTGAAAATACTCATTGAATCTCATGGTTTTTTGGGCAAAAATATCCCAGGATGAAGATGATGGTTAGCATTCATGTTGTGCCCACCCAACAATAATTCCAGCTTCTGTTATTGCAAAACCAGAAGCCTGGGAGCTGAAACAGAATAAAGACGAGAGATGAAATGTGCATTAAAGGCCCTTCAAGTCCATTTTATTTCTGTGACTTGCAGATGTATGGTTACTGCTTGGTTTCTCTGCCCAGGAGGCAGACATTTTATGTATGACTACTTTGTATATGGAAAATTCAGAATGGTATCTTATACCCCTGGATTTAAATCTAGTAAAAATATTCTTGTAATATACACTAGCCTGTAACAAACACAAAGCCAGATTCTTTCCATGGGCTCTGAGAAATGAAGAGTCTAATGCACGTTACATTATTTATTATGGTGGCATCATATAATTTTTTTTCCTCCCACATAAATATTATAATACAGAGTTTTACAAAGTTGCCTTATAACACATTTTTTTAAAAAAGGAAAAGCAATTCCTGCCTTGGGAATTTAAAGAAAACAAACAAGCAAAAAAAATTTTATAGACAAAACCCAGACACTGCAGAATGAAGCCATGTCCTGGATAGATGAAGTCTCCATCAGCAAAAAAGGAAATTCCTATAGCATTAAAAAAATAAAATAAAACATAAGAAATATTAGCTACAGATGAATGCTGCACCCGTTTTGCCAAGCAGCTGAAGGTCACAAGTCCAGCCCAGCAGCAGCACTTAACTCTAATGGATACTATTTGTCTCACACAAGGGTGCTGTCATTCCACTGAAGAATGAAACCCATGCTGGGAAAGTCAGCCCATGCAGTGGACTCTGCCTAAACCACATCCATTTAAATGCACGTTCTATGCAGGCATGACTCTGCTCAGCTGGCTGCCCTTAACTGCAGCATTTAGGATGTGCAGAGCTGGCATCCAGGATTCCCCCTAGAAGGCAGCTCAAACAGTGGGATCATCTTCGAGGCAGCTAGAACCACTCTCCAACCAAACAGGAATAAAGATTCCTTTCAGATTTATCCTCTTAGAGTGGCTCCTAAGCTACATACACCCTATGTAAACATGACAAATCAAACACTCACCCATTTCTCTCTAGCAACCTAAAGTACACATATTATACTCCAAATTTGCAACATTTCTCTGCCTCTCCCTTTTTGAATATCAGAAAGCCACAAGGGCTCAGTTAGCCGCAGTAAAGTGTGCTCCTAAGTGTTTGCAGCTGTATACGTCTGCCTCCCAGTACCACTCTTAAAAAGACTTGACTCTGAAAAAGACTTGCCAGTCAGGCATTAAAAAAAAAAAAAAATTAAAAATTGCTTTTCATGATGTTGAAAGAAATTGCATGTGGGAACTTATGATCCTAGGAACTAGACACATAGAGGTACTTTAGTTGTAAGTGCAGTAAACAGCCTTATCAGGGCAAGTAAAAAGTTCTGTCTGGCTTCCAGCAGTGCATTGGGATGAGGCCCTAAAAAACAACTTTTTCATCCAAGTTTTCATGTAAGAAACTTTATTTTCTCAAGATCTTTTTCAATAATACTAATTTTCACCTCAGTAAATTGTTTTTTCCATGCTCTAGGATTACATTCTCACCCATAGAAAAAATATCCTAACACCTGTATCCTAACTTTTCCTTACTTTCTTGTGATTTCACCTCCTGAGCATGACCATCACTATCATCACTTAGGAAAACCTAAATGTATTTAAGGCAAATGCTTACTAATATTCTGTTACCAGTTCTTCAATAAGAAGTTTTCCAACTAATTCAATTCTTCATTCACATCCTTGACACAGCTACAAAAAAAACCCACGACTGAAACAAGCAGCAACATCTTACCTGGGTCCCTTAACATGAGAGGGATGTGAATGTGCTGAAGCCAGCCCAGAGGAGGATCACAAAGATAATCCAAGGGCTGGAGCACTGCTTCTGTGAGGACAGGCTGAGTGAGTGGGGGTTGTTCAGCCCAGAGAAGGAAAGGGTCCATGGGAACTTTTTATGAAGAGAGCCTACAAGAAAGCTGGAGAGGGACTACAAGGGCAGGTAGTGATAGGGGTGATGACTTTAAATGGAAAGACGATAGCTTTAGACTACGTATCAGGAAGAAGTTCTTCACTGTGAAGGTGGTGAGACACCACAACAGGTTGTCTAGAGAAGTCGTGGAAGCCCCATCCCTGGAAGAATTCGAGGCCGGGTTGGATGGGGCTCTGAGCAACCTGGTCTAGCAGAAGGTGTCCCTGCCAAGGGCAGGGACGTGGAACTAGATGTTCTTCAAGGTCCCTTCCAGCCCAAACCTTTCTATGGTTGTATGACATTTCATTGTAAGGGAGGAAGAAATAGAGGTCTCTTCTCCTTTCTTGTACATGCAAGTAAGCATTAACTTAGAGATCCAGCAGTAAACACAGAAACATGAGTGACCTGAGCAGATCTTTGAGAAGGAATCATGGTCTTCTATGTTAAAATATCTGTTCTGAAGGAAATGAGATGAAGTTCTGTTAGCATCGTGTCCTAGCAACAGAATTTTGCACAGTGCAGTGGATGGGAGCATTTGCAATGGAGGTCTTAGGTCCAACAGTTTCATTACAGCAAGATATAAAATGATTTCAAAATAGCTGAGGTTCAACTATTCGCTAATAAGTTGAATAGTTATATATTCACACTACTTTCAGAATTGCAGTATCCAGGCTATTCTTAATTACCTACAGTTCACTGCTTTTCTAATTTATGTGAAAAATTTTCTGAAAATTTTTGGTTATAACTTGCACATTTATTTTTGACTGGAGTGAAACTGTGAGATGTCTGAGTACTTAGAAATCCATACATTTCTAAAGCCCCTTGAGTTTGCTATATTATTGTAATTCCTGGATGTCAAAGAGCATGTATGTTATTTTAATTTATATTCAGCTCTTTCCCCATAAAAAATATAAAAGGCCATTTCTAACTGTATTTTGAAAGTCAGACCAAAAAAAAAAAGTTAAGTTAGAATCGTCTAAACCAGAGAACCATGAAACCACAGAAATATGATTGTTGCATCACTGCACACTACTCCTTTTTGAAAATTGCAGGTCAATGAAGAAAGGAAAATTCAGTGTATAAAAGAATAATGTATAGAAAACACAACAAAGTATATCAAAGTAATGTGAATGAATAAAAAATTTAGGGTGAGGAAAGAGTGTGCGACTCATGTGTACACTATGAGACAAAGTTTAAACATGAAATCATCTTGAGTCAGCAGCAAAGAAAGATGCTGAGGCCTCAGGCACTCAGGCCAGAAGCTGCCTGACCTTCTCACCAGTCCCTCCCTCCCTACAGGCAGGGTGCAGCCAAGGGAATCCCACCCAGCACGAGAGACTGACCAGCACTGAGGTAAGAGCACTTTGTGCCCCAGGGCCACATGTGCCTCTCCAGGAAAATACCTCAGATACACATTTCTGCCTGTGCTCACTTTATAGAATAAAATACTCCATGTGGATAAAACCTTTCTCAAGATCAATAGGAGATATAGATACATAGATAAAGAAATGCATATATATATATATATATATATATATACATTTATATACTGTGCACAGACCCCAGCATACATGAATAGCTATATGTGTATGCATTAAAAAAAGAATTGTCATGTTTATATTTATCTTTCAGGTAGGGGATTTTTGGTACAATTGTAGGTATCACAGTAACAAAATTACTTTTATCACAGAGTCTTCATCTCACAACAGCAGAAAAGGCAAGTGTGCAGATTTTTTGGAGTTGTTTCACAGCTATAAAATGTTCTCAGTTCCTAAAAAATACCTATTAATATCTTATAGTTGAAAATTAATTAACTATTTAATTCAGTTAATTAACTGAATGAGTCACTGACTATGTAGAGCATGTTATAAGAAAAATTCTGAAAAACTCTTGAGATTAAACCATTTTTGCTTAGCCATGAAGATTTAACGTGGTGCAGAGCTGAAAAAATATTACATCTAATTATACTTGCAGTGCCACAGAAGCAGTGGGAAACTTGAGAATGTGACTGATAAGTGGCTGGATAGTAGGCTAAGAGATATGCATAGTTCATCAGAGGTCTAACAAAGGCTACACACTAGAAGTCTGCTACTGTAAGAGGAAAATTATCAGAGACAGCATTTGAAGTTGCACTGTATCTAATGAATGCCTAATGCTGCCAGCTGCAGGAGCCTGAGTTCATGCTCAGTGGATAAGTTAATTAACCAATTTAATACATCATGATGGACGCATTAGGGAAGATAATCGTCGAGAGGAGGCTGAGGAAAAAGTATCTGAGGGCCTGGCACAGTGCTTATATAGAGCTGCATGCCTGATTTGGGATGCCTGGGCTCTGCCTGGTGAGGCCCCACATGGGTGCCCAGCCTGGCATCTCTGACCTAAAACATCACCTGGGTTAGAAATGCCCTGCTGGGCCCTGAGCCTGAGCAAGGCACAGAGGGGCTGATCCCAGAAATGAGAAAAACAGACTGGAAACAGGCAGCACTGGTGAGCAGTGGCCATTGCATGAAGGAGATGCCCCAGTCAGATGAGGGCCATGGAAGCCTGCAGATACAGGGCAATCAGAAGTATCCTGTGAAAGAAATACAGAGCACAGACACCGCCAGGCGTAATAAACAACCTGTGTGTGTAACAATCATGCAGAAAATCCTCCAAAACCTCTCACCACCAGTAAGTCTTCTGCAATTTTTGCTGTTGAAGAAAGAACCCATCAGTAGCCAAGTTTTTACAAGAAAAAAAATTATAAAAACTCGTTATGAGGTGGCAGAAGAGCAGCCATAAACTCCCTTCCAGAAATCCATTGTTTCTCAGCTCCAACAACCATCATCTGATCCAATTCAAACCAGATGAAAACTGAAATGCTGACCTGGTTGTAAGGAAAGAAATTAGAAGAGATGACTGACTTGCAGTCACTTGGAAACAACAGACTGAATACCAGCTGAAAGACGACAATAAGTAATGCTGCATTACTTTAAACACAGAAAATAATGAAGTAGACAATAAAACATTCACAGAGCTATTTTTTGAAGAACGGAGAGTAAGAGGCTGCCAGAGGAGAGTGGCAAAGGTTAGAATGTTTTGAGGAGTAAGAAATTAGCACATCTATAAACATGACCTATTGCAAAAACCAGGTATTGCAGATGTCATTTTTTTTTTCAACCACAGTCAATCTTGAGCAGAATGTGTAAAGAAACCACAGACATAAATATTCACACAACCCTGGTGCCTGAATTTCTTTCTTATCAGGGAGTAACCCTGCCTTGAACTGCACACATTTAGCAGAGTCATATAACAGCTGAGCAGCACTGCAGATCAGTCATGGATACAGACAAATCTTTCTTCCATGGCTCCACAGTTTTAGAAAAAAATTAGTTTCCTGCAGTTGCTTAATGATAAGGCTTCCTAAACTGTTAAATCTCTGAGACAGAGTAAGCTGTAGGCTTAAACATGCTCCAGAAAAATAATTACCAGATTTTTAAAGATTATTTTGTTTTCTCTTTCCGAGCTTTAGCAGCCGATTTTCTGAAAATTTCGGGTCAAAAGTATAAAATCCTTTGCCAGCTGGAAGAGATATTTAATCTTAAAATAGTCAATAATATTAAACTTACTTTGGAAAAGCAGATATTTTTTCCAAAAAGCACATAGCAATCTCTAATTTAATTCATAAATGAACTCCAATTGGATTATAAAAGGAAACTGAGTACCTTCTAGAAGAAGCTGGGGATGTTCTCTCCTGGAATAGATTAGGTATGTTTTTATTAAAATCAGTGGAATGTGCAATTTGTTTCTCACATTTGAGTAAGTTTTAACATCCTGCCAATGGAGTGGAGCAACAGACCAAAAGAGTCATGGAAATAAGTGACTACTAGTGATGGTGGGAGAATTAAAGCAATATCAAAATTTTGACATGCAAGAGATATTTAACACTCAAAAATTATTTCTTCAATGCTGCAGCTGAAACCATGTTAGCAGTACTTACACAGAAACAGAGAATAAATGCTGCAAGATCCTGGTCATAGTCCGGATCTTCTATGTTAAACCTATACCACTAAGCAGCTTGAACCCCTTCATGGTGTTAGTTTTTTATGACATTGATATTCCCCTAAAACAGACAAGACAAATAAGAGAGGATGTGGGAGCTCTTCCATAGCATTTTTATCCATCTAAAATTCCCATTAAAAATCAGGAGATGTGTAAGGAAAGCTAGGTCACTGTGTCACATCTACCATCTCAAGAGGAAAAGCCTCTCCAAAATGCAAGCACAGAATGAAGCAAGTCCCTTCCAAACTGTTGGTCTGCAGTGTACCTGCAGTCTGATTTGAGCAAAGCAAGTCTGAGGCCAGCAGGGATACAGCAGCTAAGAAAATTAATGACAAGGTACAAAACTTCGGCAGTGTCCAAACCCAGTAGTACAACTTGCAGAGACCCGAGATCTCTCCCTGCACTGTTCAACCCTCCCACAAAGGAACACAAAGGCTCTGCTCCAAGCACAGAAGTCTGGCCCTTCCCCACAGAGGTTCCCTCAGCTTTTGTTTTCCTTATCAAAAAAAGTTGGAATGAAATTGAGGAGTATTTAGGTATTCTACTGCATATCACAAAAAAATCAGTTTCTATCCATAGGCCTACTTAGTGGCACCTTTGTACCCCTCCAGACAGTTTCTGAAACAGAAACCCGTAAGTATAACCCATCCTGTCTCACCCAAACAACATCATAAGACTATTTTTCTTAAAAGGGAACATACATAAATGCAAGTCTTCCAACCACTAGGATGCAGCTGCTACTCTTATCCCCTTATTTAACAGTACATAAAAAGGATGGATGAAAATTAGTTAGTAAGATCAAAGCTATCCTAAAATAGAAGCAGAAAGAATGCTTTCACCTGCTATCAAATAAGGCCTGTATGAACCTATTGTACAACCATATTACCAGGTAGTGGCTATATTTCCTTCCATACAATCCAGCTTAGCTGAAACAGTGTGCCTGAATCTTTATGCATCTATATGGCAAAATATCAAAATTAAAATCAACATAAACCTAGCAATTATATTATCCAGAGGCTTATGAATCAAGAGCTAAAAAAGTTAATGTAATCTTAGAGGATTTGAGATCCACATTCCTTACTGAAAGAAAGCTGATATCTCTTTGCATGAATGTTATTAAAATCATTGACAACAAATTACAACCATAAAAAATCAATAAAAATAAGAAAATGTTGCCATAGTTCAATTATTCCTACCTTTAACTTAATTTAAGAATCAAAAATGTTGCTGCCAAATTTAAAATCAAATCAAGGGTCTAACTCCAGCAAAGAATCAAGAGTCAATTATAGAAAGCGTTAAACGAATAACATTTTTTCAATAAATAATCTGTTTGCAAATTCTAGAAAGTAACAATCAATTTGCTGAATCTCCAGCTGAAGCCAGAGTAATTTAAAGTGCATTCACATAGCAGTGAAGCAGAGTTATCTAATCTGCAATCTCAGGCTACTTGAGCTTCCTTCTGGCAAAGCTGCTTTTTGGTAAGTGCAGGTTTACACAGTGTGGTTCTAAAGCTCCTCGAAGTTCCAATACAGAGCCCAAAAGTCACAGTATCTGAAGCCCCACTTTCAGAATTATTTCCATTTGCAAAACTTTTATTTTTTATTCTTTTACCAGTATGTGTTTTACAGGAGTTCACAAAGCTCTCAAATGCATTGATGGCATAAAGTTAAAGATGGGATATCTCTCATCCTAATAAAATACAAGCAATAAAAATGAGATTAGGATAAAAAATTATGCTTAAGACTATCAGGGATTCATAAATGCATTAGGTCAGAGTTTCCTGGCCTTGCACATGTAAGCATTGGGGCAGGATCAGGGACCAAAGCACCCACAGTGATGGCACAGAGCTGGGAGGCCTTAAGATTGGTTGAGCTCCAGTTTCCTGTTAGTATTTTTGCTGCTTCTTTTCAAGATGGTCAACAAGAAGATTTTAGGAAGACTTGTCTGGGATTTTTGCCACGAACTTGCCATTCTTCTTGAATTTTGTTTGTTAAGCCTGGCAAAGCTTCCCATTAAGATCCTTAGGCAAACAAGTCAGCACACAGGCATGCACCACAATCAAGTTCTGTTCATCAACTCAACTAAGGAAGGAAATTTATCTGAGCAATTTAAAATTCATGTAATGTTGCCAATCACAAAGCCTGAAAGCCTAGAGCTTTTAGAATTTTCTAAATTACCTTAGGATATAATTCAGAGTTGGCATAATTACATTAATAAATACTTATAAGTTACATTCTCGCACAAATATATGGAAAGCATAATTCTTTTTAGAGACAATTTTATCAATAATCAATAAAAAGTGTCTAGCCCATTAAAAAATAGTAAAAATAAACACAAAACCTTGTGTTGACAGCTTAGCAGGAATATTCCTATGTTAGAACACAAGTTTTCACTTCAAATAAGATTGTAGGTCAAGAAGAAAGATACAGTCTGATGCTTCATTTTGTCAGTTCTGTTCAAAGTATTGCAAACTAAACCTCAGTAAGAATATGAGTTCTTCTCTTTAGATTCTTTCCATTTCTCTAAGGAGTATCAGGGGAATATTGCATTTGCCAGTGAACAAGACAGGAAAGCACAGCCTGCTGGCAGAGGGTTGTCTCAGAACAAAAACAAGGCAGTGATTTTAGGCAAACTGCAAATATGAATTTATGAACATGAGGATAACAGCAACAATATACCATTATGAAAGTGAGTTACATGCTCAGGTTTATTGTTCCTCATCTTGTCAGAGTAATTTAAAAGTAAATCAATAATGATAAGTGATCCCCAGCTGCCAATTAACAATGCATCATATATGTCTTTTAGGCACTGTAATAAAGATGATTCAGGGAATGGATTTTGAGAGTGAGTGAGGAGTAGATCAGATATCATTTAGAGACTTCTATCCACTTGGAAAGGGATTCTTCCTGAAATAATACAAGTACACTGGAAACATGGAAAACTGCAGGTAATGGAAATGTACACTACCTAAAAGGCTGAGAAGTCTTTGTGAAAGTCCTTGTCACAGAAGCCTCTTCTTCTCAAATGAAGAAAGTGCTCTCTCTTGTTTAATGGCCAAGGAGATCATGTTTGCAAATGTAGAGCATAAAGAAATGTATGCAGGTTTATGATCTCCCAGGCAAGGTTTTAGGGCTTGATCCTGCTTTGTCTCCCAAGCCCCTGCTGCTGCCAGGGAATCCAGATGGGGCAGTGAGTCACAGAGGGACAACCTCTGGTCTTGGGCTAAGGAGAAGCAAGAAACTCCAAGACATAGTAGTGTGGGGTAGGTTCAGGCAGTGACCCAGCCTCCCTCAGGCACAGCAAAGCAATAGAGCTGCACTGAGACCTGGCACCATCACCCATAGCTAATAGTTGTAAAGCACATTGAGGTTTTGCCAGGCCTTTAAGCTTGACCATGATAAGCAGTTTAAATACAGCCAATTTTCTTCAGGGCTTTGGCTTCCCTTCAGAGCTCAGTTATTTCCTGACATTTGGTGTTCAAGCCATTTATTTCATGTGACAAATAATGGTTTACCTATTTTTCTAAGTTAAAATCCCATAATTGGTCTAGCCTTCTTTTAAGTAACAGCTCACCAACAAGAAGATTTTTGATCCAGATTCAGCTCCAGCTCAGGTCCACCTCTTTTGCTCCAACCTGATCAGGATTTATCCCACTGTCACAGACCCACTACAAGCACTCCAGGCACCAAAGCACAGGCCTTGAAAAGAGGTCCTCTCCTTCCTCCTCGTTTTCACTGCTCCCTGTTGCAGGTGGGGAAAGGAGGAAAAATAAACAACAAAAATTCCCACAACATTCCCACAACAAAGTTTAAGTGTGCCAAAAACAGAGGACAAAAATAAACCCTGCATTTCTGGGCTTTGGCTATGGCTTCAGTTGCTCCAGGGTACCATGACCAAACTAAAGCTGAGAGGAGGCAGAACTTTGCCATGAAGAAGTCCCTAAAATTTAACTGTGCAAATTATTCAAGGGGAGGCTGTAGGGTGTGGGTCTTAGTTTAGATTGAACAAATGTTATAGAATCCTTCAGAAGCAAGTACAGGAAGAAAAAAAAGAACAAAGTTTATACCCAAATGCAGCAAGACATCCTTGCTTCATCCATAACATGAGTAAATCTGAATTCCAGTTCAAGATGAAATAATATTATATGTTTATATTTACCACAATTTAATAAAGACTTTAATATTACCCATGCCAAGACTGCAATGAACACTGCTGAGGGCCTTTAAGAAAATCATATTATGCCATGGAAAAACATGCACAATGATCATATCCTCAAGTTAATAGAACACAACCACTGCCTACACATAATACCATAAATTAACTTTTATACATACGTATCTGATGGGCTTATCCTTAACAACTTGACATTTCCAGTCCTGATGATGTAAACTAGTGTGTCATTCTCTCCTGGATGTGGTCAACTAACAGAGTGTTTTTCCTGCATCATTCTAACATTATAGCATTTTTGATGTACAGAGGGGGGGCAGAGGGTGGAAGAAAAGGGCAGTGACTCCACTTCAAACAAATCTCAGCTAGCATTCACCCAGCACTACTAAACTGAATTAGATTGGTTTGCCTAAAACAAGCAGACATCACTGACATTTTAGGCCAGGGAATTAGATTTCAGAGTAGCCATGAAAACATTTATTAAATTCATAAAATGTTAATCTCCTAATAGTAATATATAACCTAATTTAATTTCTATGAATTAGCCATGAATCACAATGGTAATAGAACCACTAAATCAGAGGCTATGTTCTGTAGCGCTGGGTAATTTCTTTATTATTTTTCTTGCTCTGAAAAAGTAGATTAAAGATGAAAATGAGAAAACAGTCAAGTACTTGAAAATCTTCCCCATGGGCTGTTGGTAAAAGATAACAGGACTCAAATAAATCTTGTATTAGGTTCCATAGTCATACAATAGTAACCTGTGCTGGTAGTTTTAGAATCAAACTTCAAGGAAGCAGCAAAAACCAGAGCAGGGAGTTGGACTTAGATGATCCTTGTGAGTGCCTTCCAGTTCAGGAGATTCCATAGTTCTAGGATTCTATGACTAAACCT